CAAATTCCTGTTATGTAAGAATATATTTTGTATTTTTTATGCAATATTTAAAGAGCAAAGTTACGAGGCGGTTTTGAGACGATTAAACCAACCTCAAAAATCTGTCAAAAACGCTTTGCAAGATTGCTCTTTAAATATTGTATTGAAAAATATAAATCAAGCACATAAATAACGGAAATTTGTAAAAAAAATCGAATGGTGCTATCCGTTTTGCACAAATGCACGTTATTTGGTTGTTATTACAGAAATATTATTTTGGCGCCAATTTATAGAATTTGTATTTACCTACGGCATCCTCTTAAAATGAAAGTTGTGTTAATGTTTGTTACGTTGTCATTTTTATATTTTAAGGGATGTCATTATTATGTAAGTGACGTCAGAGTCAATTCTAAAATACTAAAAAACCTGTTCAATTGAAACGTCACTATATATTTACTGCTAAGATTTCCGTAAATTTATTAGTGGTGTTTTCAATCAAGTAAAAGTTGTGTAAGTTGTGCGGTAAAATTCGACTCAATATATGATCGAGTAAATAAAAAAAATAAAATTATTTTGATTTGTTATATATTAAATGTATGCATACATATTAATAAAAGTTAAGGTTACAAGAATCTATATTATATTAGTTGTATCCCCGCTGCATTCATTCTCCATTAGAAATATGTCGTTAAAGAAAACACTTTAAGTAATATGTTTGGAAAAAAATAATTAAAAAGTACGATAATTTTTACACTATTTGAATTAATGTACGATAATTTGATATTACCGCCGTACGATAGTTGTACGATAATAATATATGGCGCAGTACGATATTCACTTTTGAACTACCTGGCAACACTACAGTACAGTGAGTTGTGTAAGAACGATCGATTTGAATTAGGAGCGCTAGCCGCACGGTGATGCCGACTTGCCCGTTTCCTACCCGATCCTCTAAAAAGCGTGCGAACGTCTGCCTTCGGGATGATGGCTTGTTATTTTGCAGAGAGGTTTTAGTTTACAATATTTAAGAATTAGGTAATTCCAGGAAGTACATAGTACTAAAAATACTGTAAATATATAATAATCTTGTATTATATATTTTATTGCAACATTATATTGTCAATTGCAGTACATTAGTAATTGACAGTCATATAAAATTTCTGGGCAATAACTATTTTAATGAATTGTACTCATGTGTATAAACATTTTCAAAAATAAAACGATATCAAAAATAGTCTAACCCAAAGATATAGAATTTCCTTTTCAAACAAATCATCAGACAATAAACCCCTAGTTAGCGAATGTATAAAACCTGCAAAGGAAAACAGTCATTCAACTCGCGTGGATGAATGTTAACAGGTGATGTAACGAATAAACGTTTTTTTGCCGGATAATATTGACCAGTATTTTTAATTATTTAGATTTTTCATTTAAAAATGAAGAGAATACAAATTCAACAGCTGAAAGAAGCTATTTTTGTTTCATTTAAGTGCATTCACTAACGGAATCAAAAAGAAACTATATTTTTAGTTGTAGGAATACGTCGAAAAATCTGAGTTTTAAACGACTGTGTGACCTACACCATTCTCATAAACGATCTTTACAATATCCAAGAACAAAATTTAATCAAAATCAATGGCGCTATTATTTGAAAATATTGAATATGTCCGAGGGGCTTCATGTAAAGAAGACCCAGAATTACTATGGTTTTCAATTCAAGGCACCGCGACATCAGAACAAGCGGTGAATATCAATTTTGGAGAAAATGGGCTGAACGGTTTAACTGCTAGCGTTGTTCACAGACGGGCAGACTAATTGCCTAACTCTTTAAAGTGACAAAAAGTTCATTTTTGTTTTGAAAACTTACACAAATATATTTTTGAAATTTCTCTCAAGCCGTTAATATGCACATTTCCAGCAATTTGTAAACATTATTGCATTAGTGAATAAAGTGCTTTAAATGAAGTTTTTCGAAAACTCCTAAATTTCTGTGAAACAGAGCTTCGAATTTTGCATTAAAGTAACGCTTAAACGCCATTTTCTTAAAAAAGGCTCCAAATTTTTAAAAGAAAATTTCCATTTATGACGAGGTTTTACTCTTTTTTAACGTTCTTAGAGTAATATTTCGCTTCTACTATTAAGAAACCGAAAAATTGTGAAACTTTCAAAAAGTGTAACTTGGATGGCAATTGCTGGCAGCTGGCAAAAGGATGGGGCAAGAGCGTGAAAGCAATTCATACCAGGGAAATTAAAACACTTTACTACGAGGAAGTCTCTTCCATTCTGTAGCACCACTAGTTTATTAAATGAAGTGTTTTCAAAAAACATTTCTTTAAAAAAGGTTATGTATAATTAGAAATAAAAATATTTATGAGTATAATGTGCTTCAAATAATGTCACATAAAGTTTCTCGAAAACTACTGTCTTCTGTGAAAACTATCTCAAAACCCCGCATTTTCAGAAACGTTCAAACGCCATTTTCTCAAAAGCGGTTTTCTTCAAACATTTCGAACGGATAATGGTAATTGCACTCTTTAATAGGGCGAGAAGTTAAATTCGGTGTATTTTCTGTTGTTTTTTTTTAAAAAATTACACAAATGTAACTTTTTGAATGATCTTTCACGCCATTGATATGCACATGTCCAGCAATTTGTAAACACTATTGTATGTGGGAGTTTAAGTATTTAAAATGACTTCAAATTAAGTTTTTCGAAAACTCAAAAATTTTCTGTGAAAATGAGTTTCAAATTTCGAATTTACAGTAGTGTTTAAACATTAGTTTTTTTTTAAAAAAAAGGCTTTAAATTATTCAAAGAAAATTGCCATTTAGGACAAGGTTTTACTATTGTTTAATAATCTTACAATAATATTTCCGCACTACAATTAGGAAACCGAAAAATTAGGAAAATGTCAAAAAAATGTACTTTGGGCGGCGTTTTAAGGCAGCAGACAAGAATGTGTGAAGTTCGAATAGCTAACCGAGACCAAAGGTAATAGAAAACTAATTTGGGAAGGTCTGTTCCATTCTGTAGCACCACTAGTTTTTCTTTTTTTTTCTCATTACAGAATGTAATTATGCATACGTAAAATACATACAATTAAAAATACATGACGAGATTTGCTGCTATTTTATATTTGAATTTAGTGAGAGTCTCACGTTCCTCCTCGCCTATAAACCTCCTTGGAATCTTTCTGTTGGAATCGCCAGGGCTCGCAGAGTTCTACAATTCAGCTGACCTATTGACAGCTCATGTGCTACCAGCGAGCCGTACCAGGCGGTCCACAGTATCTTAGCCTTCTTGATTGATCGATGATTCCGGACGTGTAAGTGTAGTGCCTGTTTTTTTATTGCGGGAGATGGCGGTGTTCTTCCCCTGCTGAATGGCGAGATCCGGCACCGTCTTACGTTGGCTTGCTGGGAGTTTCCCCAGCGGGGAATGTCCCATCAAGGGACTGGTCTCCCCAGAGAGTATATTACGTAGTAAAGTATGGGTCTCCCGACATATGTGTTAATGTAGTGCAAGCGAGTGTGTGTGTTTGTTAAGTAAGGGGTGAGGAAAGGGCAAGGAAGAGGAAGGAAATATCGCGCGCGGTCTGTGGCCCGTTTGTTAGGGTACCGCTCCGGCTTTCGCTTAGTGTTGATGGGAGAAACCACGGAAAACTACTAATCAGAGGAAGATTTGTTAAACTTCCTCACCTGGACGTAGGAAGTTAATGTAATTATGCACTCTTACCTAAACACAACTACGAAATCAAGGTACTTACAATTCAAAATGTTTAATTTTACTGTCAATTGTTAATCTGATATATTATTTCATTGTAATATATAATTTCTTCGCTTTAGTAGAGGAAATTAATATAGGTAAATATGAGAGATTAACTGCAACTGACTTCTCCTAAAAAATGTCATGGGCCAGGTATCCAGTGGCGTACAGCAACCCCAGAGCGATTTACACAAACCTTACTATTAAATCTCGCGACAGTTACTGAGGAATCAGTGTTCACAAACTCTAGTAAACTAGTTTCGTCGCCCACGAACTTGACATACCTGCTGTTCTTGGTATAGGGAGGAAAAAGTCGTGCTTGCGACTCAGCAAATTTCACACACTGTTATTTCACTTCGTGTGTCAACTGCGGACTTTAGACCGTGTAGTTAACCATGCATGTGTTTCGTCTCTGATCCCTCACGCACAACCTGACGATGTCAACGATGAGGACTTGTCGAGAATAAATCTTACCTGAAATCGAAGGGCCCCTATTGGAGGTCGAGCGTAGGGTATGCCCATGAAACTGAAGAGTGGCCCACCGGATTTCGTGGTGGTCTTGCGGCCCCGAAGGTTACCTTGAAACACTCGTATATTGACCGTCTCGCTCATTGTTGGTTTACGAAAAAGGTTACCTTGCAATGGTAGTACTTTCCTTCGCTTAACCGCCACGTACGTTCTGACATCAAGTCACTGGAATCAAAATTCATCAGTTCTTATCTGGCCCTTATCCCACGCAAATACATGTAATATATTTTCACTCTCAATTTGCGATAGCGTTATCTTCTTATGACATTCATGTTTGAAAAAATCTACTTCTTACAGAATCAGTTTATCAATAATATTATGGATCCATTCTTAATAGACTTTTGGCATCTTCAATGTATATTATAAAACATTATTAACTGTTTATGTTTGTGTGATATCCTATAATTGTTGAAATGCCGGACATACCTATTAATCTCAATTGTCACGTCAATTAAAATAATTCCAATTAACTGTTATTGGTAATATTGAAGTTGAATATTGTATTTTTGGTATTTTCAGAAAGTGATAGAACTTTTCAACGAAACTGCAAAATAAAAATTTCAAACGGTTTCTTTTATTTTATTTTTTTAGGATTGGATGATACAAAGAAACAGTAAGCACATACTTGTTTTCTGGTCGAATTACATAATAAGGAACAACAGAGCTCAAAGCGTATCACAAAATGGAATCCTAGGTCCGAATCAAGAAAAATAATTCCGGTTCATTCACCTCACAGCTGGTCCGCTGCACCAAAAAGCCCATCACCGAGGTTCCAGCGTAAAATAATCACAACATTGCGTACGGTTAGGTGCGACAGATACTCCGATTGTGCATTACGCAAACAAACTCAGTCATAACTAGCGTGAGTATGATATATACTCTGTGATGACGTCTTCAAAGGTCGAATGTGTACGAGAGACGCAAGGTCACTGTCTGCTCTTCTCAGTCGACTGTGGAGACGGGAAAACTGGAAGGCGCGGACGCCAACCTGCCGAGAGAGGGGGAAAGGCCTTCGCTTCTATTCGCTGCTCGGGCGGCAAGCGCGTTGCCGGCAATTCTGAACAGGGTGTGCCCGAGCGCGTGTTCGTGCAACTAAAATGCTCTTATTGCCATGCCAATGTAATGTGCAGTTGTTTGTTGTGTTAGTGATTTTTTCGCGTTTCGAAATAAAGCGTTTATTAATGAAAAAGTGGCAGAATATTTACCTTCTTTTGAACGCATTGATAATTGGAGTAATTTCGTAATGCAAGAAGGAAAACGATTAAAAATAAAATGTGATTTTATTTTCTTATTCTAAATATTTCCGTAAAAGATCGATCATACCTATTTTTCACAATTACCTTCACTGAATTTCCTGAAATAGAGAGTTTAAGATGGAAAATATGAAAGAGAAATTATAGTAGCACCAGTTAAATAAGAAGAAAATGTGATAATCTATTTATAATATATCGAAATAATTACAATTAAAAATAACATGAACATTTTAGTTAAAAATTAAAATCTCTTTGATTGTTGCTATTAGTAATGCAAAAAAACATCAATATTTCAAATTATCTTAAGCATTAGTCATGTCAATAGAAAATTAAATCCAAGCATCTCAGTGTACTCTCAGTTGCTATGTAAATAATTCAGTTAGGAAATTAAACTTTTTTATTTCATGTTTTCAAATAACTTCAAATTAATTAATAAGAATATAATGTTTATAAGGTTTACAATTTTTAAAAATTTTGAATTAAATGACACCAAAAATATCATTGGTAATTCCTACCTTACTGCTACATTTACCATTGGCCATTTAGTCATTGGGATAAAATGTTTTATACATCTTATATAGACATTAATTATACAAGCATTTTTATTTAGCTGTCAGGACTTCTTTCAAACTTTAGCAACCGTTATCAGACAGTACTTATTGAAGGGCTAATTCCTGTTTTTCAAATAACTCTAGAATCCCAGAAATAAAAAAAGGTACACTTAAATTATTTATTTTATAACAATTTGCCTAACTTAAGACTTCAGAATCATCATGCATACGAAGCATGTTTCATCTCTTATGCTCACTTCTTTCTCTTATGTTTACCTTTTTTTTTACTAAGCATGATTCCATGAGTAATCCCTCTTAGCAAATCATGTTTCTTTAAAAAATTTCTTTTGTAGAATCATACATAGTAATTTAATAGAGGTTGTTTTTATCAAATGATGCAATTTAATAAATTAGGTAATCCAAAATATTATGGGAGATTAAGTTGTACAGTATTCTTAATAATATATCACTTAATTTACACAGAGCATAATTCTTTCAACTATTGAAATTTTGTTCATATTTTATCTCCTGAAATTTTATGTGATTTATTACACAGACTATGAAATGTGTTGTTCAGTTAACAGTTCCATAAAAATCATAGAAGATAACATGTTTTTTTTCAATCATCTGTTTACATTTCATATTAACATCAGGAAGGAGACCAAGGATGAAAGGAGAAATTTATTGAAATGAGCACTTCTCAGTCTTTATGTTAGAGGGGGGAAAATGAAAGAAAATGTTTAACCTTTTGCATAATACATTAAATATTTTGATGTTATCATGTTTCTTTATTGATAACAACTACAGGAAATTATGCATTCTCCAAGCAGTTATCAATTTGTGTATTTTTTGTAGAAAACGTATTTCCAAATTTGAATTTATTATTAATATTATGTTTTTTTTTTTACTTATATTTTAGAATAAAACATGATAAATTCTCATCTTGATTAATGAATCAAGTTCTAAAATTCTTAATGCATTTTTACTTATTATTTTAAGAGCTAAGTTTTAAAGTTCATGTTACAGTTACCTTGTAATTACAAAGAATCAATTGCATTCAAGTAAAATACAAAATTTGGGTTAAAAAAAAGAGTTTGATCAAACTTTATATCTAACTAATACTTATGTTTCAGTATCTCTATAATTTGCAGTGATAGCATTTTCATACATCTTTTTTATTGGCTCTAAGGTATCACTACCTAAGCTTTAATAGTAGAGCACCAACTTAAGTATAAGAGAATATATTTAGGTAAATATTCTCTTCATTTAGATGTTATAACAACTATTTACATATTTATTTTGGTATATTGTTGAAGGGGAGTGGTCTTTTTCACCACATGTTTTTTTCATTTTGTGTATTTTTTAGATGCATATTATTTAAATAAGAAAATTAATCTTTTATTTAAAGAAAATAAGTTTATTTATTTTTTACAAAAAGTGCTGGAAATTCACATTTGGAATTAACTTGTATTACATATTTTGAGTGAAGTCTAGTATACGGTACAACTTACGGAAGTCGTTCAAACCGGCACTTCTCACCGCTCCGGCGATAACTGCACAGTTTAAATTTTGGAGGCTTTCTTGAAAAATGATGTCTTATAAAAGTGAATTGGTAATTTTGCGTTGGATAGACTCAAGGATGTTCACAGTGAACGCGAGGACCGGAGGCCCGAGCCTCGCCGTGACTTGGATCCGGGCGAGCGAAGCGAGAAAATGTGCCTTTGAAAGTAAATTGGCGTTACACAATGCGTCGGGAACAAAGCGTATGAAGGGCGAGACATGAAAATGGCCTATCCGTAAGTTTTTTTTTTCTTTTTTATCGAAGCGCGTAGTGTAATTTGAGGGAGGGCTTAAGGAGACCCCGCCGCCACGCCTCTGAGAGTGTACCGTGTACCCTATTTTAACCCATATTTTTGTTCATAATTTAGCAAGTTGATATATATTTTCCCAAAATGCCATTCTTTCATTTCGCAGGTATGTACCCATATATAGTTGCTCGTCAATGAAAAGGTACCTCTCATTTTGTGGAGTAAATGGCAACCATTCAATTGGTAATTCTGGAGTCCGATGTGGAGTTGGATTTCTGTAGGGATGGAAATGTTTGTTTCAATCTTCACTTATAGGTAAGTACAACAGATAATAAACATTATCTTTATTCTAATTATTAGATTTAAAGAAATTTAAAATATTTTGAGCTTCTTTCTGTAAAATTAGTTCAGTGAATAGTGACAAATTATTTGTTAACAATAAATATTATTTTATATCATCATACCCTGTTTTTGCAAAGTTTGTCCAGAGTGCTATCACTTTACTTCTTACTTTCACTTCATTTGAGTCTGGGTCCAGATCAGGATCGTACAATCCTAATCGGAAGAGATAACCCAGGTCATCTCCATGATAAGGTCCTAAAGTAAAAAAAATGGTGTATGGATGATATATACCTTTTGCATGATATTTAGTTTGAAATTTCATATCACTATTAAACTAAGATGATTATTTCAATATTTGTGATATTACAGAAAAGAAAAGGTAGTTAATAATACATCTATCTATTATTGATCTATCTTTTATTGATTATTTAATTAGACAATTTGATATCAACAATAGACTTCATTACATTTTTAACCACTCTTTGGAAAGCTAAAACTGGATTCAGGTGTGTGAGGAAACATACAGTGTTTAAAATCTATTAAAATTAATATTTCAATTCAATCACAATATGTAGAGAATTGATCTATTGGAAATATGTTGATTACTTCTGGGTGGCTGTATTGGCTTAGAGTACATATTAATTTAAATAATGTTTGATTTTCTCGACTTTTATCTAATTTTATTAATGTATATATTATAAAATATTATATTGTACGTCTTCAAAGCCTACTCATGATGAAAACTCAAACTGAGGATTGAAATATTGAGTTAAAATGGGAAAGGAAAGGGGGAAGAAAAAAAAGAAGTGTTCAACTGGTCAGATTTTAAAATATTAACACATTAATTTTAATTGATGTTAAACTCAATTGTGTTTCATACTTTCCTAGACTCTGTTTAGCTTTTGAAAAAGATCCCAATTATGGATTGAAACATAATAATATGAATTGTTGACAATTCCAAATTGTCTGTTAAAAAAAGGTCAAACAATACGTTTCAAGTTATATAACAGAAATAAATATCTATCTTTTAAAATTTGCCTACCTGAGAGAATAGCAGCTTTGGGTCCCATCGACATCTTTCCACATCCTAGTAAACCGTCATATGAAAAATTGTAGAAATATACTGGAAAAGAGGATGATCTTGCCACATATTTAGCTGCAAGACAAACCCCTGCTGCTATATGCATATCGGTATTTAACTGTAAAGAAAATGTGCATTTTTAATTTTTGAAATTGATTATGACTGCATTCTTTATTGCTAAATATTCAGCATAGAACAAAGTTCAGGCTCAAAGATAGAGTTTAATGATTGTGCTGTGGCAAACAAGAAATATGATTTTATAGAAATCTTCTTTACAATATAAAGTATTATAAAATACATAAGTATGTTATTTTCAGTGAATATTATTGATTTAGTTTCAAAAATATAGACTAGTTTCATGAATTTGTTTTGATGTTGATCTTAGTAATGATTACAATTCATCATTTTAATAACAACAATAATAATACATTGAAAATATCTTGTAATGTAGACCTTTCTTTTTGCTAAGTTTCTTCTCTGAAGTAATTGTTAGTTTGTTAGTTCACAAGTAGGATGTCTCTGTATACTGAAAACACAAAATTTGCAAAAGAATATTTGAGATAAGAAAAAAAAACCCCTTTAATTTGACTGTTCCATTTTTGGAACAATGGGATCAAATGGGTTAAATGCATTTTATTGATTGGTGAAGAGGGTCGTGATGAAAAATAGTATCATCTAGTATATCAGTATGCTCTTATTGTTATTTTAAAAAATAATTATTGACATATTTTTCAGTTTTACTAATGTTGCATTCTGATAAGCTTTTAAAATGAGAATTAATTTTGTTTCAAAAATTTTATTTTGTAAATAAGTTAATAAATAAAAAAAAAAAATTGTTTTTGCCATCCCCTTTCTACCTGAATCATGCTCAAATCACAAACAAAACAAAAAACACACTCAGGCTCGGAAACAACCCCTGTTCATTCTGAAATGCCTCTGAGCAAGAATAGACATGTCTAAACATGCAGTTGAAGCAGTATGCTTTTTGCTCATAAGGAGGTCCTGCTTTGGTTTCTCATCTGGCAGCTGCATTGCATGTACAGCTTTTCCTTTGTTCTGCCCATAAAGAGGCACCGACTTGGGTTTCTCGTTCAATGGCTGTGATGCCTGCACAGTTTTGTCTTATGGAAAATTGTGCCTGCAGAGACACACAGTCTAAACCGTGGACCCTGCCCTGAGATACTAGAGTTATGTTGTATTGTAGCTGGCAAGGTTCAAGATGCAGAATTTTGCCTTCTCTCAAATCAGACTTAGAATTGAAGAAGAATATCTTATTACATTCTATGTATTTATTTTATCCTCGGGTAGAAAGTGTCTTTCTTGCCTCTGTCATGCTACACCACTGGGAACAGTCAGTGTAACACACTGTTCAATAAATAAATAACTGTGATTAATTAGCAGTATTTCTGAAATGTTAACTAATAGGTATCATTTTGCATATACCAGTTGTGCTACCTTCAAATAAATACTGTCATGTAATAATATTGAATATACTCTCTTTTACTTTTCTTTTTTAACTTCAGAGCAGCAGTTACAGAATGGAAACTGAAGCAACTATTAATATTTTAATTTATTTTTAAGTATAAGCATATTTTTTTTATGCAATGTTAAAATTTGTAACAACATTCTATTAAATTGCCACCTTCTGGCATTGAATGAGAATCGAGAAATTCTCCTTTAATCTAGTCAGTCATTGTTAGTTGTAGACCCTCATTGAATTTTATCCCTTTTGCCAGGGGCTCGGTGCCATTAGATCCTAGAGTACCCAGATGGTCAGCCAATCAGGAAATCGTGTGTGCGAATTGCTTAACCTCCATGACTTCATGGAGTGATGTGAAGAAATTTAGCTAGCAATTTTGGCTTCACTTAATAGCTTTATAAGAATAGATACCAAAAGAAGACAAGAAAGGGAAGAAATTTCTGAAAATTTAAAAAGAAGGAAAAGAAAGTGTGTCAACTGCAAATTTGAATTTGTGTGAGATATAATACTAATTAATGAATTATAATATTAATTAAATATAAAAGTTTAAACATTTATAACGCACAATGTGAGGAACAGACAGTCCATATTCTGAAAATCATTTGAACTTACATCAGAATAAGAAGCGACATTGTCCATGGTAATTGGAGAATTTTGAAAGTAAAATTTTTTCACTTTATTACACAGTTCTTGAATTTGGGAATCAGTCAATGCATCCCTTATTTGTCTTGGGAGAACATTTTCAAAATGATCATTCACTCCTTTAAGTAACTGTGGTTTTCTGACAATGGCTGCAAGAACAAGTAACATGTAGAAAATTTGAAATGGTTTACAATGGCAATTAATACTTATTTACATTGTTCCATATTTAGGTTCAAAGAAATGGAGAGCAGTGAACAAAATTATTTATTTCCCATCACAGCAGATTGTGGCATCTTTTGTTTCATTATTATTATTATTATTATTGTTATTATTATTAGAGTTAGGAACCTTAATATTACTCATAAAGAGAAATGGAACTAGTAGTAATGAAGTTGAGTTTGAAACAAATTACTCTTCATTAAAAATAAATTTTAAAAAATCTTTTAAATGCTGTATCTTCAACAAAACCATGACAAATGAATTTTAAATATTTAGAAACACAGGTACTCTATTAATGCTGAAGGATGTATATGTTCTCTGAAACTCAAATATTTATTGATATTTTATAATTTATATGCCCAACAGTTCCATTACCTTATTAATAAATTAGCATATAATATTAGCTTTGCCACAATATTTGTGTTAATTGTTGCAGAGCTGGTAGCGTGTTTCTTCTTCTCAGAATTTTAGGAATTGTAATAAACGGTTTTGAATTTGTATACATTAAAATCTATTACTTATTATGAGTGTAGAAGAAACTGATAATTCCAGTTACCTCGAAGATTAATCATGCCCTCATGAGTAACAGTTCCTGTCATGTAAGGAACATGATGAAATTGACCATTTTTTAGAAGAATTTCTTGATGTTGTGCCAAATATGGTTGTTGCCCTGGCACTACTTTCTCCACTGTTGGAACAAACACAATTCTGAGCCCACTGGTGTTTTCCTGGTAAATGAAACGACAAAGAGAAAATAATGTATTAAAGAAATCAATAATTACCATGAAAATAATAATTCTTCTTCTTCTTCTTATTGTTATTATTGAAATTCAAAAATTTGGAATGTTTTCTAAATGAATTTTATAACTTCCTTTGTAAAAAAAGACATATTACAATGTTTATGCATACAAAATAATTCTCTGAATAAAAATACTTATATTTATATCATTGTTATTAATTTGGTTCATTCTGTCTGCACATCATCATACATCGTTTAACATTTTATAGCTTCTTGTAAATTCTACTAAAATGAAATGAGGAGGAAGTCTAGTTACTGATGTTTTTTATTATAAAAATTACTTTTACTTCCATTTCTGTTTCTACATTGCAACAAGCTTCAGATCTATGTAGACTTTGTTTTATTCAAGCAAAGGCTGCCAATTACAAGATACCTTACACATTATGAAATGGTAGAAAACATTTTTTTAAATATCGGAAATCAAGTCAGTCCTGAAGTCAATCATTTTCATATAATAATGTTTTCTATTAACAAATTATAAATTTGACAACAAAATCCCAGAGACATAAGGACTCAACGAAAGGTCTTGACCTTCAAATTGCTGCATGTATAATTATTTTTTACAATGTAATTGAAGTTTTAAAGTCATGATGTGAACAAAAACACATTCATTTCCAAACAATTCAATGTATATGGAGTATTGATACAAAACTGTTTGTATTTTATGCCCAAACAAATCTTCACTTACATCCTAAAATAGACTGCAGTTTCTGGACTTTCTTTCATTACAAACAATTTTCTTAGTCCTTTATCTTTGTGTTTTAACTGACTGACTCAATGTAATTAATTCTAGGATATAAAGCATTGTAAAATCATGATTGAGACCAATTTTCACTTACTACTCTGGCAATTATATTCTCTGCTTCTTTCACTAATTTTTCTAAATCAACATTTTGAAGGAAACTGAATAGTTCTTTCTCATCTTTTGTCTTCAGACCTAGACGTTGTCCAACAGCAAATGATCTGGATTTACTTAGAAATGTATAAGCATAATGATTTAAAGCACTTCCACTTTGAGCAATAGCTTTATGAAAAAGACCTGAAAGGAGAGAAGAATTATGTAAAAATTATTTATTTAAATTTGCTTCGTTGCAAATGAATGACATAAGTGATAACATTTATCATAGATTTTACAAAATTAATTATACTTTTCTTAATATATCATAAAAGTAAAAATTAATTAGGCACATGTAACTGAAATGCACTCATTTTAATATTCAAGTCTAAACGATTTTGTTCATATTCACAATTTCTCTCCTTAAGAGTTTTTGGTGAATACTCTTTCAACTTGCCTGTGTCAACCCTTTTGAAATTGGAACTGTCCTTTTCTCTCAAACTCTCCCTTGCCATCCCTCACATGGAGCACTATCTATTGGCTACAACTAATGCTCATAAAAAATATACTGCCTAAGCATGTACACGCCAAGCCTCCTACAGCATAGTAATTCCTTGCACTGATATTACTGTATATCACACTTATTCTCTTACAAACGAAAGAAAATCATTGATTTTATTTTAAAATGAGTAAGAACAAAAATTGATTTCTTTTAATGCTTAGGGATAACTAATTGTTCTTTTATCTGTTATTAATTTATTATTTTCTTTGAATCAAATTCACTGCAATAGTTGGAATAATTCTTAAACTTACCTTTTGTCATGGGAGATACCATATGAAAACTAACACAAATAGCTCCTGCACTTTCACCAAAAATAGTCACATTATTTGGATCCCCACCAAAAGATTCAATGTTCTGTTGCACCCATAATAATGCTGCTACTTGATCTTTTAGTCCCATGTTTCCTGTACAATCTTCATTATCCAGACTCAAGAAACCTGTAGGTTAGTTTTAATTAGAAATAAATAATATGATTGAAGACTCATACTGTGTAAGGGGAAATATGTGACTCAAAGTAAATTTTAAGATATCTTGTAAAATATAAAATGAATACATCACCTAAGACACCCAATCGATAGTTGAATGTTACTAGCAGAACACCTGCATCCACTAAATAATCTGGACCATACATATCTGTATTTCCAGATCCTATGACAAAACCTCCACCATGAATCCAAAACATTACTGGTTTCAAGTTTTGAGGATTTATCTGGTAACATAAAAACCACAAATGTAGGAAGTTTCAACAGGTTAACAAGTTTTGAAATTTGAATGTGTTGGTAATTATGTTTGCCATTGGAGTAAAAGGAAAAAGAATCCTTGACAGAACCAGTGAAAGTAATGTTTGCTGTTCAGTAACAACATGGAGCCATGCATCTATAACACAATTTTTCTTTCTTTCTTTTATTGCTTGAACTGTACCTCTTGAGTATACACATTAAGATAAAGGCAATCTTCTTGCCCCCGAAATACTCCATTCTCCCGCTGAGGACATACTGGAGGTTCCTCTTGTGCTTTATATATTCCATTCCAAGGCTCCGGAGGTTGTGGGGGCTGTTAATGATAATTAAAAAACAGAAATATTTAAGAGGTGCTGGATGACAATGTAATTTTAAAAATCAAGAATAAAATTTCAAGACAAGTATTTACCTTAAATCTTAAAGGACCTACGGGAGGTTTGGCATAGGGAATTCCTTGGAAACACAAAAGTGGACCTCCTGATTTTGTTGTAGTTTTCCGACCCTGCAGAAGTCCCTGAGAAACCTGCACCACATCTGTCTCTGACTCCATATCACAGAAATATATTTATTCTAAAGGTTTACTTAATTATTTCATCTAAAAAGAAAAATATACAAATTAATTATAATAAGAAGTGCCGTATGATTCTAAAAAGTGGTGATAAGCTATTATAGTATTTACTTACATTTGGAAAGAAATTTATTAATGGCAATATCGCAAAGTCTGGAATAGTGATATATATGAAATATAGTGAATTCAGATTGATTACTAATTTGAAAATCAGGATTTGGAGAGAAGCCATATATGATAGCAATACTTTAAGAGGAGAAAGAATTTTATAGTATTGTAATCTGTTTTGATGCAAAAATATAAAGAAACTTCATATCAACAGAATTTTGTTGTAAGTGAAATGTTCAATATTTTAATGTTCATGTATGCCATTTTGACAACCCTATTTTGATTTTTTTTGTATTGTATATTTCTACCAGTGCCGGTTCTAGGCAAGAGCAGACTGGGCGTTCGCTCGGGGCCCCATAGTCCAAGGAACTCCATGATGGGACTGATGGGGAAAAATTAATTAAAAAATTGGAAAAGAAATTACAACATGAGAAAATGTTAATGTAATTTTATAAGTTATGGTACAGTAGGTTGTTATTTCCTAAAATTTTCAATTATTTTTTATCTTTAATAATTATAGTAATTACTTGTAAGGTAGGACTCTATGAAATGAATTAAATGATGCTGACATTAAAATAGGTTCCACTGAAATTCGTATGTATTATTTTATGTATTTAAACAGTGATTATTATTGAACACTAACTTAACAACCATTTTTTTTTAGGGTTTTAAGCTCACTGTGGAAATTGTATTTTGTAGGTCACAAAATACTTTTACTAAAAAGTAATATTTAAAATATATTTCTAATAACTTATTATGGTTAAAACATAATTTTTTGTTATTTGTTGATATAAAATAACTGATACAGTTTTTTGATACTGCTTTCACACTTCATTTTTCAGAGGGGTGCTATGTTTCAACATTAATAATTTAAAATAAAGGAGCTTTTTTAACTTGGCAAATCTCATTTCCTCTTAAGGTACTGGTTGAGATGGTTCTGAACAACAGCTATTGCGAATGCAGCGTTGCTTAAGTCCTAGAGTTTGAAACAAAATGGTGGCCAATTTTTGACACTAGCTAGGTAGATGGTTAGAATTCAACCACTATCTGGAGGAGAATTCTAGTGGCTAGCTCACCTTATTTCCAAGGCCAAATCTTTCTTTTCAAATAAATAATTTTAAATCACTTTGTCATATTCCTGAAGTTCAATAACAATCTCAGAGGCTGCATATCACTCATTATTCTGTGATAAATAAATATATTTCTTTTCTCAAGAGTATCACGTAAAGGTGATGTAAGGAGTGCAAGATATGTGAACAAACTTTGATTCATAGTCTACTTATTCGCAATGAAAATTGTAATCAAACATGAGTAACTACGTGAGAGCCTAAGTAACTAGGATTTGGGGATTTCACTGCATGTCAACAGAATGTAGAATGCTCTAATGAACTTCCTGACCATTTTGGATTCATTATTCCGGCTATACAGGCGTACTTGTACTTTTGAATTAGTTTGTTTTTCTTTCACAAAATAATATTATACATTTCCTGCTTTATTGTAAAGGCACACTTCAATTGAAAAATTTTCTAATTCTAACTCTTAATGATATTAAGTTCAGGCAGATTTTATTGCCTGATCTATCCGAACATTAACAAGATAGCTAAGTAACGCTATAATGGAACTCAATTATTATTAAGGTGAAATCTGTAATTCTGTGCGACCCCCTCTTTGGCATACCACCGGTGGAGGCTTTTGATGTAACTATGGCAGATTGCATAATCTGTTCAGTTTGTTCCCTTTCATTATACAAGTCACTTCAGATTCTGTATTTGGTTCTGTAAAGTGCATTTTGTTTTTCTCTATAGTGATGTGTTTTTATTCAGTCTGGAATCCAAATTTCAACACGTGTAAACTCAGTAATTGATAAAACAACGAAAATAATTTCCAGGAAGGTATGAAGAATTATGTTGATCTTAGTAGAATGAAGAAGTAAGGAAAAATTCAGTCATTCCTTGAGAATGCAATTTTCTTTATAGTCTCATTTTATGGAAAGTGGAGAGCAAAGATACATGTTGATATTTTTTGTGGTAGATTTTTGATAAAATTTTGTAGTCTTCATTTTGCTTTTAGAAAGACATTTTTAATGCAGATATAGTTAATTCCAGATGAAAATATTTTAATACCGAAAAGATTATTAAGATTATTATCAAATGGGAATGAAGTAAGCTAATTAATTATTTCTAGCACTTTCTCATCCATCTTTACATTATTCCACTTGTTTTTGTTTATTTTTTATTTAACGATACTTTGTTTTTAAAAACGTGTGACGGGGAGAACTACATTCTGAGAATGTTTTCTTGAGCTCCAGGATCTTTATCCCCGACCTTCTTCCATTCCATTTTGACGTGCTCCTCCTGTCAGTTTCTTTCCCTTCTCATCGTTTATCTTATTCTCCTGCTTCTCCTTTTCACCAACTGAGGTAACTCAGAGCATTACCATTCTCTCTGTAGCGACTCTCACGGGATTTCCCTGCAGTTCCAGTCTCGACAGAGACGGATTTTTGATATTCCTCTTGAAATGCGCTGCTTCTTTTCTCACCTCACTAAAGACAAAGAAATTCAAATCAGCAAAAAAGGTTTATAGCTATGTCCAATTCAGCCGTTGTCTGAAGGAGAATTCTAGCTGCTGGCTGCTCTGATCGGCAATTTTCCATGGTTTCTCCGATCAACACCAGGCGAATGCCGGGACAGTGTTCCAACAAACGGGCCGCGGACCGCCCGCGACCTTTCCTCTCTGTCCCATTCTCACTCCTTTCCTACTCGCACGTACACCTATACGCTCTGCATAAGCACTCATCTCAGAAAGTTGCCCCGCTAAGGGAGAGAGAGGTTAGGAACCACCCGCAAGGCGACTAGTATGGCGGCGTTGGATGTCACCATCCAGCGAAGCAGATACGAGGGTTGCCTTTTTATTTCAGGATTAGAGAACAAAAACAAATATTAATCATCGAAAATCACTTTACTGTTTTTCAAAATATTCTCCATGAAGATCTGTACCCTTTTGCATGCGTTTAAACCAATTGTAGAAGCACTTTGCCATTCTGATTGAGGTATTTCCAAAACATACATTCTGAATGCAGCAATTGCTTCATCAGGTGTCGAAAAACGTTGACCTCTCAGTTGGTGTTTTACGTACGGGAATAAAAAGAAGTCATTTGGTGCCAAGTCAGGACTATACGGCGGATGACTCATCAAATCGATGTTTTTTGCGGTGTCTCAAAAAAAGTGCGTTGTTTTGTAGCGATGTGTGATAGTTCGCCAATTGTCGTGGTGAAGAGTGAATCATTGTCTTCGGCGGCTGGTGTTCTGCGTTTTGTTCTAGTGGTAGGTGGACTGTCATGTTTTTCCGAAAAAACGGCGCCAATCTGTTTGGAAGTGCTTCGTAGCGCGGAACAACCTTTGGTTGGACTTTTGCTCATCTTGAAACAACCATACAAGATCGACGCTGTTTACTTTCGGGCTCATACGCGTAACATCACGATTCATCCCCTGTTCACAATGTCATAGACGTGTGTCGACGCACCGGAACGTATTTTTTGAGCATTCTTCTTTTCGAGCCAAATTCGACAGAACTTTTTTGAACGCTTGGTAGCAATGTGGCTTGGGATCAACGCGACAAATTTTTTTTGACAGTCAGATGTTCATCGCATATTGGAATGTAGCGGGGTCCACTTAGTGCCCAAGGATGCTTTAATTCCTCACGATTAGGTCGACATTAACGAACTTGCAACTATCAGTTTCAGCGACAGCATCAATGGTTTTCGGACAACTGATTTTGGTCGACCTTGCGGATATTCGTCCTTGGAGGTGAACTACGACCCACGCATTGATTCACGATACCGATGATAAACACTGATTTGATAGGGCGTTCTATCGCCAAAAATTGAAATTACGTTTCATCCCTGCAATGTGTGCTCGAGTTAAATTCACGTCGAAAGTTGTGAGAACAAATAATGCGCCACGAAAAAATGTTCAGATTGTAATTCCATTTTGGGCCAAGATGAATATCTTTAAGTACTGTAAACAACACAAATAGCGCTCATATGTCAAAACGTTCTGAGTACGTATAACCTCAAAACATCCATCTTTACGATAGAGCTGTCAGTTGCCAGATTGCAACCGCAGGGTTGCGAAATCCCGAAACATAAAAGGCAACCTTTGTACACCACCACCTTCCCGGTTGAAAACTTTCACTGTGCTAACGAGACTAGAAATCATAGCACCTGACATGCCTGGAAACATCAGTCATTCTTTCCTCCTCTCAAGCTCCTGCTTCTCGTCGTATTTCTCCTTCTAATTTTTTCTTTAAGTTTTTAGCTCGAATAGTTCAAACTATTATTTCAAAAATTGCGCAGATCCGATTTTCAATACAACCTTCGAAATTTAAAAGTTCATAAAAGGTTTATTTTGAAACCTATAAGTAATAATGTACATAAATAATTTTAATAATGTACATTATTAAAAAAAGAGATTGAACCAAATTTTGAAAATTTGAGTAGTTTTCTCATAGTTTCGAGTGAATTTGTGATAATTTTGTGAACGTATGTTTTTGAAAACTTTCTCAAATTCCAATTTTACTTCCTCGTATATGTACGTATATATGGAGTTATTACTCCACGACGACGTACTCCACGACTCCATACGACGTGCAGAGAAAGTTATGTAATACTGCGGAAAATCGATTTTGTTATCCCAATAGAACATCCCAATAGACAGAATAGATCTAGCCCGACTCGAAGCTCAGCAATAAAAATAACTTTAAATTTTGGGAATATTTTATCTAAAGCCCCTGGAACATTTTCAAAATTTTCTGAAAAATGGCTCTACATTTTCTTTGAAATCCTCGTAAGAATAGAATGAAATTCACTCATAAAGATGGCATAGGTTTTGATTTTCACCGTTAACTCTAAATGTTCGAAAATTACAAAAGTTTGAATTTTTTCGAAGTCTTTTACAACTACAATAATAAAGATAGCAATGTTTTCTTTCTCGCTTCTGCTTACGGTGCATTAGAGAGAATGTTAATGATATTAAATTGATTGAAGTCAAAAATTTAATTATTAATGAATTCCATATAAAAGGAATTTGGTTGTGATGTTGATGATATATTAAAAAAATAGAAGAATACTTGCTGATAGAATAGAATAGAATAGATAATGAAATAGAGTTGTCATTAATCTTCTGATATCATAAGTCCTAATAATATTCATTCAATGCTGCCGGCGAATTTTCGGGAGAAAAACTATTGCCGCGCCCTGGTAACCAAAAATCAAAATTTAGAAAAAAGTTCTCTAACATGTGGTCTTGTGGTGTAGCCAAAATACAATTTTTATGGGTCCTTGCTACCTAAAAATCGGTTGAGAGCAAAAACGTTTGTCCGTCTGCCTGTGAGAAACGCTAAATGCTAAATTATTCAGCCAATTTTTTTCAAAATTGATATTTGAACCTTTCTTTATTTATTTTTTTGGGGGGAGGGGGTATTTTACATCAAGCTGGTGGGTCATTTCAAAATGTTTTTGATTATATTTTGTTGTTGGATAGTTTAAAGGCCGTTTTAGAGAATGGTGCATGTATCATGTTCGTTAAAACCCTGATTTTTCGAAAATTGGAAAAGTTAAAAATTTTTTCGTATTCTTCCTATAACTAAAATATTAAAAATAAAGACTTTTTCCCCATAATGAAATCTGTTTCTTAAAGATAGATATTGACCTTTTATAGCGTAAAGGACACTTAATAAAATGGTGTAGGTGTTATGTTCACTGAGATCCCTATTTTTTCGAAAATTTACAAAAAAATTTAAAAGTTCGGCGTTTTCCTACAACTACAATTATGAAGATAAACATATTTTTTAAAAGAAATGTGTTCATAAGAAATACATGAAATGAGGTCATGTTGGATTTTTAGGTTAGGGCAATTAGGTTTTCTCTCTTAAAAATACAATTTAAATGTAATGTGAAAGAAGAATTATTAAGCCTTCAGGAAATGTCAGATTGGAATGCGTCAATGGCACTCCAGCCCGGGAGACGGTAGCTATAGTTCTGTGAATTACGTTTCATTGTTGCGACATGATTTAGCTACAGCGAGAAAGTCTGTGCTGTTTTAGCTTCACTAGTTGCTTAAAATGATATTTGTTCTCCACTATTAGTTCGTCTATTAAAGTATTTTTTAGAACATATTAGTAGTTTTCGAGCAATGTTAAGCGAAGTATGGGCAATATAAAAAATTCTCAAAAACTGCTCCGAATTTTTTGTAAACATTTTATAGGGATAGTGTATTGTAATGGATGACATTAATGTCATTCCGCTGTATTATTTTTTCTTCAGAAAGTACCCAAATATTATTGTTTTAATATGTCACGTTAATATTTACATTATCGGTCATTTCTGTATACGATGTACATAGTATAATGGTTCAAAACGATGTACAAATACGATGTACATAGTATAAACGCTCAAAAGCATTATTCTCAGAAATAGCTCCAACTGTTTTCATACAATTTTTCTATGGATAGTGTTAAAGCCACAGTTTACGATGACATAAACTCCATTTGCTGTATTCTTTTGTTTCGTTTCTCTCAAACGCTAATATTTACATTTCGAGCATTTTTATACTTTATCGTGTTTGTGAGTACAATTGCTTCGAATAATTTCTTAAAATGCTTCTCTGGTGCAAAAATGGTGCAGGTCTTTTTCGTTGAGATCCCTGATTTTTCGAAAATTGCGTAATTTTAATTTTTTGCAGGGCGTTTCTATAGCTACAGTATTAAATGTAGAAATTTATTTTTTAATATAAAACCTATTCTTTAAAGACAGATCTTGAAATAACGTCATGTGACATTTTTTAAAATCATGAACAGTTTCACGGTAATTTTGCGTGAAAAATGACAATTTTTAGGCAAGATTTTCTAAAAAAGGCTCCAAATTAATTCTTTAAATTTTCTTCTACCTATAAAAAATGGTAAAAGGGGCGCGAGTCCCATTTCTGACGAACTATGAATTTTCAAGAACTTAACTTTCAAAAACGACAAATTTGAAGATAGAGAATTTTGTCTTGAACAAAATCTGTTCTAGAAATTAGAGCTTAAAATAAATGTACACATGTTTTTGAAGAGAAAAAATTAATTATCGTGCAATTTCTGCTTGAAGTTAAAAATAAATTATTCAAAACCACTATATTGAATGAAATATGGGCAATATAATCAAATTTAAAAAAGATAGTAAAAAAAGGCTCCAAGTTTTTTCTGTAAACTTTTAAAACGGACAGTGCTAAATGCTCTTTATAAGATCACATAAGCGCTATTTGCTGAATTCTTTTGTCAATACCAAAATTACACAAATGTATTTTTTGATACCTCTGTCCCGTCGGTAATATTTACATTTCAGCTGAGAAGACTATGCGGCAATATATAGCGCGAACTGAAGAATAAGGAAACTAAGTCGTACGAGAAAGTGTGTGACATTCTGAGACACCAATAGTTGATTTATACCATTTTCTTTTCAAGAAATGGCTCTTAGGATAGGCTAATTTGAAGAATAAAAGTTTAAATATTATTATAGTTCGTTGTCGTAATCCATACTACGAAAAATTATGAGCTTTTTTCTTTCAAATTGAATCTTTTTCAATACATAATGTTTTTACGTCAAGTTATTGCGCTATCAATGAATGCATAAAAAATCGTGTGCTCTCGTTTCATCGTTGTACACTTCGTATTCTTTGAGACATGTTGATAACAGGAATATAAATAAATAATGTGTCCCTTATTCTTTTAATATTGGAATTATTCGTCAGAAATTTTCACCTACCTATCATGTCTTGCTACTACCTCAAATAATAAGAATCGCATGAATCTTCTTGAACTGGACAGGATTTTGCGTGTCAGCGCAACTGAGCGCTTCAGTATTACCGCCGTACGCCAAGAGCCACTTACAGCCAGCAAATCCATGTGATCCCGCGCACCTTTGATTTGCTTCTACCAGCCGCCCAAACATCCGAGCACGCTTCGGAAATAAGTTGGATATGATCACCACCGTGCGCCTCTTCAATCCACAGACTTTTGGGGAATTACGAAGGTCGCGTAAAAGTGCGGGCCAGGTACCGGGTGCTGCTGTGCCAATTAAAGCAAAACCTCTCGAAGAGAAAGAATGAAGGAAGCAGATCGGATTTAATGGAGAACAGTTTCCCAGTTGATGTTTTACCTGAAGTGTTTAGCAAGTTGTCAGCGCCTGTGCCGCAGTGCGAGAATGCACGTGCTGTAGACTGAGCGCTTACTGTTGAGGCGTGCTGTCTTGGTGACGTTTCCCCCACCCGCTACTACTGACCAACGCTCCCGCACCAAACCACTCATTCGGCAGTATCTTCAGATTCAAGAAGATATGAAAATGTGATTGTCTCGACATCAATGCATGGCCCAGCCATTCTAAAGGTTTCTCGAGTGATATGATTATCTGCCTCGTGTGCTAATGTGTGTGTGTGTGCGAATAAACACTTGTACCCGGAGGTTTGAGGGCAGTGGACTTTCCCCTTATTATCTGCATTATTATGTAAAATGATCCTCAACTACTCCAGAAAAGATAATGAATATATTAAGTAAAGAGCTTCCTGGATTGACCAACAGAGATTTGAATGAAATGACAGTATCCGGTAAACACACTTTTCTAATCGTCTGAGAGATGGAAGATTCATTGTGATAATTAGTGTTTATGCTTGATTTCGAGAGAGAGGTTCTGAAAATACTTACTATAAATAAATACACTTAAGCAAATTCGGCCAAAGTGCCCAGGAAGAGAAATACACGGTATCATGAAAAGTTGTATCATTTATATACATTCTTCTAAGGCATTTAGATAAGGCAATTAAGGCATTTAGATAGGTCGACCAATATCATGTTTTGACAATGAACATAGTAGAAAATCGCATATAACGGACTGGTACGCATTTACGTATATGACATTTGCCACATAGGCAACCTCATAAGTACTAATGTTCGGAAGGTATAAAAAATCTCCTTGGCTGCGCCAGAACGTGACCTTCCAAACATGTGTGCAAGCGGAGTTGCCTAAAAATGCGAGACCAACACCGCATATATAAAAGCTTTAATGTCTGTTATACGCATATATGAACGTAATATCCTACTATACCTAATCACAAGAAGTGTCACACAGGAAATTTTGTATTGTCTCTGTAATTAGAAATTGATGTAAACTACAGGAACCTAAAAAATTCAAAACTCAACTTTGTGTCTGGATAAAAGAGGCAATGAAATGCAGTTTACATACACCCATTTTTCCATTCGCACACAATTTTTAAAAACAAGAATTATTCTGCATTTATTATCTATCATCCTACTTGTTTGACCTGTTTTCAAGTTATCTTTCCAAAAATATTTTTCTTCCCACTACACTCCTTAAGGAATTAACTCAGGATACCACCACCCTCTTTACGTTTTTCACAAACCAATCGCCCCGACTGGTCCGTAGGATGTGGTGAATTAATTACTTACATTCCCTTGATCTAAGTGCAGGTGGTTGAAATAAAAAAAAATGTTTATACGATCAGGAATGTGTCCGCGCAGTTCGTTACTTTGTAACCTTACACAGATATTTTTCCACTACTTGGATATCAGGGTTTGGTGGGTCACACTCGAAATTAGAAATTGAACAAGATTAAGATGTTTATTAACACAAAACACATGTATTCAGAAAAAACAACATAGAAAACGTAAATACAACAAACTCAAAAACTCTCAAAATTATGTAAATCATGTACCTAAAAACAAAGATAAGACATATAATATGCAATCTCACTAAATTACAACATCCTGCTTTCCTCAAATCCAAGTTCAATAGGATTATTATCAAAATTATACATTTGCACAAACTCAGTTTAATTTTTTTGCTGGATTCATGAAAATCTGTAACGTTTCTTGTTTCCTAGTAAAACTATCTTCTCCACTTGCTTGAAGTTTCATGCAACCACAATATAAAAAAGTGAGATAATAGCGCAACAAATGAAAACGTTGTCTGACGGTTTTTCATTACACTTGAATATCTTACCTCATATAAATTTAAGAAATTGATATGACTTTCACGAAATGAATTCTGTCCTAATTCTTTCACTGAATAAATTATAATACTGGAAGCAACAACTTTATTCTGGAAGCGATGTCCGTTTCCTCACGTCTTCTTTGGAGGTCGTGGAGTAACGGCATCTATCGCTGTAGACTCTCCGTGCTGCAAAAACGTCTCCGAATCGCCGTTGAAATCTTTCAATCTTGCGCCAGGAAAAATACCACCAACGGAGATGAGAAACGTCCCCCTCGCCCCAGAAACTTATTCGGTTTGTTCCGAACTCTTTTATAAAAAGCTCTGTAATTGAATTATGCTCAATGGCATCATAAACGTTACAGAAGTGAAGTTATTCTTCTTCCTCTTAACTTGTTCTATAAATAATTTCACATTTATTTTTGTGAGCTTTCGAAATCTCTTATAACATGTCTCGCTCCAAATCAGCCATCTTTTCAGACGTACACCAACGCTACTCCTGCGAAGTGTGCTAATTAGCGCCACCAAAGGAAATGGGATCGGGGCAGCTGCTGCTAGGTGCGAGGTTCGTACAACCCCTTCTGTTCCTCTGTTTAACCCCTCAGTCGCTCCCTGTGCGTCAAGGTTGTGGACTCCTCTGTTCAAGTGCCACGCGCCTTCACTCCGTTGCGGTGCGCAATGTTGGTGTTGCCGTACCAAAGAGATGTCGAACATTGTGTCGCTTCAGCTGCCTCTGGCTGAGCAGTTACAATACAGTAAAAGCTAATCTTCTTACTGCTGATAAAATATTTTCAATTAGACTCATTACATTGCAATATCCAAAGTACATATGTTCACTATGTACATAATAGGTTCATAAAGTAAAATACTACTGGCTTCAAAATGACTCCAAATTCATTCTTTAAATTTCTGGTGAGAATAGAGTAAAATACACTTATAAAGGTGGCAAATGTCCAATTTTCAGTGTTAACTCCAAATTTTAAAAAAGTTCGACTGTTTGAATTTTTTGGCGTCTTCCTACAACTACGAAATTGAAGGTGGAGATTTTCCCTTCAAATGAAATATGTTGTCCGTATTTAGTTCTTTTATTAAGGTCGTGTACATTTGTAGTTTTTTACTACTAACACATTTAGTAGTTTTCGCGAATGAAGTGTGCAATATGAGCAATTTTAAAAAATAACAAAAACTAGACGTGGTACAACACATTGTTTCTCACTTGATTGAAAATAGTTACGAAATATTAAAATATTGTAATTTTTGCCATACTAAATATTCTCATTTCTTACTTTTAGAAATGAAACGAACATGAATAAATTTACGTTGCAGTATTGACAGAACATAAAACAGAAAAGAAAGGACAATTTCACACAAGCCTACTTTTATTACTTTTGAAGTGAGCTTTCATTTTTTTTCAATACCATAATTAGCAATTAAATATTCTTAAAGTATAGACGTTTGTTTGTTCTAAGTTAAAGTTATCATTGTTCAAACTATTTCCTTTCATAAAAAATATCTGCATCACACACTCATCATGACCAATAACACCGGGATGAATTCGAAGAAGTTTGAAATCCGTGATGCTATTTTTTTATTTTTCGAATTTACAATTTCGAACTTTTTTTGCAACTTTTAAAAATTGCTGAGTGCGCCAAAAGCCGATCCATCCCAATCTTTACAGTTCTTTGCTACATAGAAGATAAAAACTTATGACAAAATTTGATGTTTCTGTGAAAATTGTTTAAAATGGTTTTGAAAGTGTCTATGTTTCTATCTATAATAACGAAAAAATACTCCCATTTTCTAAATATTGAACATGACCTCTTTTGAAGAATATGACCTGTTTTTATGAATATATTTCATTAAGAAAAAAAACATCTATCTTCTAAATCGTAATTGTAGAAACGAGTCGGAAAATGTTTGAATTTTTGCAGTTCTTAGTAGTGTTGACGCAGTATTTGACGAACATGAGATCTGTACCATTCTCAAAATTTTTTATACTATCCAACTACAAAATATAATAAACGATACACTTTTTTTTATTTCCCAGGGGTTTCATATTAACTACCCCCCAAAGTTAAAATATCGGTTTCAAATTCAAGGAGCCGAGCCATCAGCCAGAATGATTGAGGAATGTGAATTTTGGACACTGTTTAACCACTAGCTGTTCATAGACTGACAGATTAACGTTTTCCCATTGTTCGATTTTTCGGTATTATGTTATATCGGTGTTAATAGTTGAAAAACCTGGAGAAGAGTGGAAACCCTTTTAAACTAAACGAAAATGTGAGAGGAGATATCAGAAATTGATGCAATACTTTAGAAGAAGTACTGCAAAAATTAGTTTCGATCACAAAATTGATATAATTAAAAACTTAAAGTAAGGTCATCTTCTATTAAAAAATGTTTGTATAATATTGAATGACATTATGCCATGTGGAAATCGTGACCAATCAAGTAAATAGGAAAAAAAGAGTACAATATAATAATCATTGTAAGACTTGTTATTTAGAGTTCTGAGATGAATTTTTATTTACAAATAAAGGTAAATTCGCGTTTTCAAGAACACTATAAAAAGTGTGGGCAAAAAACGAACTGAAGTAACAAAAAATTAAATGAACTGAAGTAAAACAAAAATACGTTTCCTTCAGACAAGTATGGTAATGGTACGGACAAGGTGTAGGGCAACTTAAGTGCATATGGGGAAGGGTTTTTTGGGATAGTAGATGGAATTGGGATAATAAATAATACGTTAACATTGTAATGACGAATCGGGTTTCCCGTGACGGAAAATTGGGACTTCCAAACAGTTGTGTATTCATACAAGATAACGCTCCAGTGTATATGGCACTTAATTCTAGAGTGCTCCTATCAGGGAGCGCCAAAGAACCGAATCCGGAACCAATAATGAAAAAGAACAAGCAGTAACCGTGTTCGTATCCCTTATCAAACCTAACCTAATCAAAACAATATCCATAAAGGTAACCGTCAGAGTTGGATTTACCATATCTATTTCCAGTGAACGTATCCAGTTAATTTTCAACCGTATCCATTCTCAGTAACCATATGCAGTTATCTTTAACGTAACCGTAACAGTATTCGTAACCGCAACAGTAACCGTAATCGTATCTTAACCGTTTCAATTACCTATTATCCGTATTTGCAACCATAACCATAACAGCATTTGTAACAAATCCTTAACCGTAACCAATTTCACACCCATAACCAAATGCGTGACCATAAGCGTATTCAAAACCCGAAAGAATCCGTGATAGTGAATAAGAACCTTTAAAACATTTAAAAACTCATAGAGGCCCAAAAGAGCCTCCAAACGTTTATAAAGAAATCCATAAATGAGT